TATATATATAAATATATATATATATTATTTAACCTATTCTTGTACTCTATCATTTTTGTACAGAGCTACGCACTAGAAGTTAATCAGGGCAATTTAATCGGTGCTCGAAATATCAATTCTGATTCGTTAGGCCGCTCGACATCGCGAGAGGAGATTTAATATTTTTATAGTTCGCGAGTACAAATTAAAACGGTGCGGCTGGTACTAGCGAATTATCGGTTTTAATTTTGTATCGTCGAAATTTTTCTGGTAATTTGCGATACAATTAATAAGACAACACGACGAATGGCACCGTTCTTTTCACTTGTTACGACACGTCTATTATTAGGCTACACTCAAGCTACATGCAGTTTAGAAGAATTCGATTGAATTATAATTATTATAATTATTGTATTACCGTTTTTTGATCGTAGCCATGTTTACGTAAAAAAAAAAAAAAAAAAAAAAAATAAAACACGGACAATCTTGCATTACGATTGTTGCAACAATTGCAAAAATTAAATCGCGCATGGAGAAGAAAATTTTTTTGTGCACAAGCAATTTTAATTCATCTTTCTATATAAGTGATGATTTATTTTGACGTAGACGTGGCTGTATCGGATTGTAAATTTTATTCTGTGATGTATGTATTTTCGTTGTGACACACTCTTGGCAGAATTCGTTAAGAATAATATTTACTTTACGATTGCAAGAACGTGTCGTTTTTCCTGTTCTTCAACATTGTACGTACATATATATATAAATGTATAGATATCTGTGTTTAGGTACAAATTTAAAAAAAAAATTTTATCGTTTTTCAACAACGAAATATTCTTTTTTGCATTGTAAATTGAGTAGCCATCATCTCTCTGAAAAAAAGAATCACGAAATTAATCTATTTCTAATAAAAATGCGTACGTGAAACGTGTCATCAGATTTAGGTCACTCGTGACCGCAACGAAGAGTTTGTAAATATTTAACATCGAAAATAAATAGGAAATAAAGAAAATAAGATTTAAATCGTTGTAATTGATTATTATTAATATTCCTTTTAATTATTCCGTATTAATTCATTCGTTTCATTCTCGCGTAACTCAATCGTTAATAAGTTGTGCGTGTAATGAATATGATCCTTTAAGATGAGTTTATTTTTGTGAGTCTCCATCCGTAGCAACCTCCACGTTGGTGAGACTTGGGAAATCGATATTATTATTTATCCATATTCTCTACACTACTTGTTATTTACCATGTTATTTATTATATGGATTACATAATATCGAGCTAATGGCTACGAGATTAACATTTATTGGATTCTTATTTGTAATTTACTATTGCTTCATTTTTGTCATTATATATATATATATATAAATTTAATAAGAGAAATGTATAAAATCTACAATCCAGATATCTAAATCCAATGTTTTGATTATTTTATAATTAATTTTAATTTTTCGTTGAGATTCTCTGATTTGAGGAAGAAAGAAGAAAGAAGAAAAGTTTATTTCTGCAAAGTATCAAGTTCAGGATATCAAATAGATTTGTATATTTTTTTTTTCCATTCTTTAATATTGTACGTCAAGGCTGGTATAATTTACAATATATCAAAGGTAAAATGCATACTCGAGAAAACTTATTCGCTACTAAAAATCGAAAAAAAAAAAAATCGAGACGACGAATGTGTTTCTTTCATAAAGAAAATTGTTTACACTCGCTCAAGAGTAATAATTTAATCGGAAGGAGTGATAAAATTAGACGCGCAATCGTGTGCAGTATTTACAAGTTTTCAGCCGAAAGTAGAAACAAATTACAATTACGACGAATTTTACAACTTGGATCGAAGTTTTGTTACATAAGTATTTAATTGATCGAAACGATATATTGCCTACGATATATAAATATAATTTTCGAAAAAAAAAAGTCTCGAAAAGGAAAGGAATTTTCTCGAAATTTGAAAATTGATTCCAATTCTAGAATTATTATTCAACTGTCTCGGAGATTGATTTACTTTTCGCGATACTCGACGGTATAATTGGCTTGTACCTGTTCGATCTTATTTCGTATACTACTCGTTCTCGTATTCGTTTTCTACTTTCAAGTTCTAATCTAATCGCAAAAAAGCTAACCGCTTCCCTGTCCCTTCGTGGATGAAAGACATCGTGAAAAGTTTGACCGAGGGTCTAATTATGCCTCCTTTGCCCCTTTGTGAAAGGAAGTCAATTTTTCTTTTTTTCTAAACGACTTTCCTTCCTTCGATCGATCGAATTATCGAATATCGAAGTGAATTTCGCTCGTTCACGAATGTTCACGAAACTCGCAGATTGCGAGATCGAT